GGGCTAGTCGCAACGACTGATGCACGGGACGGGAGCTGGCCCAAATAATGTTTAGGAAGTGCTTTGGGATCCCTGCAGGAGCAGGGCCGTGGCAGCGGCCGCATTTAAAGAGCTCACAGCACAACCTCCCCTGGCCGCCAGCATCTTTTGACAGCTCGGTGGTACTTCGTTTTTCCATGCTTGAAGATGTATGTGGTCCTGCGCATCACCCCTTCTTCCCCGTGTTAAATTTCAGCTGTGAACCATGGTCTCGCTTTATAGTGAAAGTCCGTATTCAGGGTTGATACAAAAGAAGCCGCAATGTTAATAAATCTACTGCACTTTCTAATAGCTTATAACCCAGGGAAAACAGAATAGATCAGCTCATGAGTAAGTGTCTGGACCGAAATAAACCGCGCTTGAGAGTGAGGCTTTGAACTTTAGAATAATTGATTGAGCAATTTCTTAAAATGGGTTTAAGCCACTTCCAGGCTGTGGGCGCGTCGGATGGCTCCCCGGGGCCCAGCGGCTCCCACCTGCCTTTCCCTGCATCCCAGCGGCAGCGGCAAATAAAGCGGCGTTGCGTAACCGTGCCCTGCCGGAGCCCTCCGAGGGCTGTTTGCTCAGCTTCTTTGCTTGAGCCTTCTGCATATTTCTCAACCCAGCTCTCCTGGGTTGAACTCTGCTGAGAAGAATAATTTTTCCTCCTGCATCCTGCATCGCTCCCGCATCCCACATCACCCCCCGCTCCCCCTCCAATCCTGCTTGGAAAAGCAGCCCTGGGAGACGAATGGCGGTTTCATTTTGATGTCCCTTCCAGAAGGTTTTCTGCATGGAGGGAAAGTGTGGCTTTTACTAATCCCCCTGTTAAATCCGCTGCACAGTCGTTTCGGCTTGCTGGGATTTAGCCGGCGTTGCTGGTTAATGCTGCAGGGATCTGTATCGTCTTTTTTTGTTGTTGTTTTCAAAGCGATAACCTGGTGGGGTTTCCATGTGGTTTGCCCCGGGCCGCGACGGCGGGCGCAGGGCGCAGGCTGCAGCAGCGGAGGCAGGGACGGTTTCTCGCTGCTCGCCGTGGTCCAGAGGAGCAAAATTTTATTCCCAAAATCACTTGGCATGGTGGAAATAGCTAGGGATGGGCCTCAGGATAAGTGAAGCTGGAGTGTGCAGAGTGCGTCGGCCTCCTCTCCGCCTGCACCGACCGCGAACCCCCTTCCCCTATGCTGCAGCTTTTAATTTTCCTCTCTGGCATCAGCTGGGGATAAATTTTTATCCTGCCGGCTCGTTTGCCACAGGGAGCCTGGCCAGGAGGTCGGGGAATCCACTGGTTTTCCCTTCCCATGCTAAGGAAACACTGATTGCCCGTACAGCATTGTCCACCCCTGCTCTGCCCTCGGCAGGCAGCACCCCGGCTTTCCGCTCCCCCCAGGTGCTTTGCATGAGTGTAAACTTGATAAAAAAAGAGGAAGGAGGCAAAACCGGCTCTGCAATAATCGGGTATTTCATGGAAACAAAGTTTGAGCAACTTCTCCACTTTAATTGGCTCAGTCCAGTTTCCTGTTTCGGTTTATTTGGGGGCGCTTTTCTTTCCAAAGCTGGTTTTATCCTTTGCTGTATATAGAAATGTGCATCTGGGGGAAAAAAATCAATTTGCTGCGACTTCCAGTGTCTGCCTGTCAATAAGAGACAAAAGCGAAACCCTTCCCGGGGCCCTGGGCTCAAAGGGACCAGCCCAACCAAACGCCTAGTTTGAAAAGTCTGCAGTTTTTTTGTTTTTTTTGTTTTGCTTTGAAAGTGCTGATTTAACACGGATGAAGCAAGTCTGCCACTCTGCCCGGAGAGCGGTGCGTGGGCTGGGGTTTTGCTTGTCCCTCTCTATGGCAGCACAACCCCTGGCTTATTTAAAATCCTACAACCCTCCCTGAGGCATCCCGGGTGGGAAGGAAGGCAAAGGACCTGCCGAGAGCCCGGCTCCGTTGCCACCGAGCTCCTTTGCTGCTGGTCGAGCGGCCACCGCGACGGGGAGGTTCATGAGCAATGTCCCGAGCGCATCCCCTCCTGCCCGTGCAAGGCATTTCCTGGCGACAACGTACTCCCAAGCAGTGATCCCTCTGCATTATCCCTATTAAAGGGTCATTCGGGGAAAGCATGATGGAAATGAGAAATTATTCAGGTCTGCCAATGGTATTTAACTTTCAAGCAGCTCTTAATTAGAAGCCAGGAGCCATTTATACAACCGCTGAGATTTGCATAAGAATCTGCATATAAAACCCAGCAACTGGAAAGATTTGATTTTCAAGTGGAAAAGTAGCACGCTCGGCGTGGCGAACGCGAGGCCGGGCTCCCGGCTTATGTTCCAGGCTCTGCCGGTGGTTTTAAGTGTGGCCTCAGGCAAGTGATTTTCTCTCCCAATGCTTTAATTTTTCCATCTATAAAATGGAAATTAGCACGCACCCGCACTTTAGAGGTGGCAGACTGTGTTTGCAGAGGGGTCTGGAGCTGCCGGGTGAAAAGCCTCAGAAAAGGAAAGAAAAAGCTTTGTGCCGGAGAGGAAGGCGTCGCTGCGCCGTCAGACTTCGGCTAGCTCGGCGTTAGAAAGCGTCACTTCTGCTTCGCCCCCCAAATCAGGGTTACAGCGGGGTTTCTCGTCTCTTTTTGTGAGAAAACCCCTATGTGCATCTATGCTAAAAAACAAAGCCTCGAAACGAGAATAAAATCCCTCCAGGTTGCTCAGTCCCTGCTCTCACAGCTGTTTGGATGGGCGGTTCGGTGCTGGTTTCAGTTTCAGCTCCTTGCCGCCCCAGCAGCGTGAGTCAGGGGTGGCAGCGCAGGCGGGAGCCCGGCCTCACGGGAGCCATCAGGGGGCTCTGAGCCGAGCCCCGGCCCCTCTCCGGGTGCTGGTCCCCGCTCTGGGACGTGGAGAAACGTGGCTCGCCAGGGGAGCCTAGCTGCTTGCGTGAAAGGAGGCTGATACCAAAGGGCAGCGCAGAAATCGAACGGTTTCCAGACGCGTAACCTTTCTCACTTCTTTTTCCCTGGATGAGTTGGGATGTGCACGGCTGCTAAAAGCCTGGAAACACCAAACGCTGTTCTCAGTCTCCGCATGGAGCAAGGGAGGAGCATCAGAGCTAAACTCCTGGCTGTGGATGTTTCACATTTGGTTGGGCTGGTTCCTTCCAGCCCACTGAAAGCAATTGGCCAAAAAAGGCCCCTAAAGTGTTATTATTGTGTGGCTGCATCCTCTAACTGGTGTATTCCTGGGATGCCAATAAGTGTTACGGCTGGGAAAGGCTTAACCGAGCAGAAAAGATCCTACCTCTAGCTACTGCTCTCTCCAGTTGACTGCTCTGCTACCCTACTCTTCCCTCCTCTCTCCCTCTCCTGCCCATCGTGTCTCTTTTGCTCTCTCTCTGCTTTCCAGTGCTCTGGTAGATGAGCAGTTGCTTTGGTTTTGTCTCCCTCCGTTGAGCTTTGTCCCGATCTCTCTTTGCCTCCAGCTGGACAAGGGGGACGTGACCGCGCTGAGCCTGCCTTCCAACGCCGGCCACGGCGACGCCGACGGCAACATCTGCCTGGACGTCCCGGAGGGCACCCCGGATCCCCACCGGACCAAAGCTGCCATTGAGCATCTGCACCAGAAGATCCTCAAGATCACCGAGCAGATCAAAATTGAGCAGGAGGCTCGGGATGACAACGTGGCCGAATACTTGAAGCTGGCCAACAACGCGGACAAGCAGCAGGCCTCCCGCATCAAGCAGGTTTTCGAGAAGAAGAACCAGAAGTCAGCGCAGACGATTGCGCAGCTGCACAAAAAGCTCGAGCACTACCACAAAAAGCTAAAGGAGATTGAGCAGAACGGGCCGTCCCGGCAGCCCAAGGATGTCTTCCGCGATATGCACCAAGGCCTCAAGGACGTGGGTGCCAACGTCCGATCTAGCATCAGCGGCTTCGGAGGGGGCGTTGTGGAAGGTGTCAAAGGAGGGCTCTCGGGCTTGTCTCAGGCCACCCACACTGCTGTGGTCTCCAAGCCCCGGGAGTTTGCGAGCCTCATCCGCAACAAGTTTGGCAGTGCAGACAACATCGCCCACCTGAAGGACACGTTGGATGATGGGCACCCCGAGGAGGCATCGCGGGCTCTGAGTGGCAGTGCCACCTTGGTCTCCAGCCCCAAGTACGGCAGTGATGATGAATGCTCCAGTGCCACCTCAGGATCGGCCGGCGGCAGCAACTCAGGGGCAGGGCCTGGTGGCTTGGGGAGCCCCAAGTCCAACACCCTGGACAGTCACCACAATAACTTTGATACCATCCTAGAGGAGCTCCGGGAGATCAAGGACAGCCAGTCGCACCTGGAGGACTCCATGGAGGACCTCAAGGCCCAGCTGCAGAGGGATTACACCTACATGACGCAGTGCTTGCAGGAGGAGCGGTACAGGTAGGGCCCAGCAGCTGTGGAGGGTGGCAGTTCACATCACCCGGGGCTGACAGCGAGGCACACGGCGCTGGGACACACTTGCACACTTGTCCGTGCTGCTGACATTTTGCAATGGTTTGCCCTGCCAAGCCTTGCAAAGCGGGCATGGTCCCACTGCGATCTTCACTGCAAGACCTCCCAGCAGCGCCCTCGTCACTGGGGCAATGGGTGCTCAGCGCTGCGCTTGCGGGACGAGCTGGGGAGGAGGCTGGGGAAATGCCCGCTGCCCCTGGGAATCGGCCGTAACTCTACAGGCCGTGGTGCTGGAGGAGATGGGAGGGTTCGTGCATGCCGTGGGCCCCGCAGGCAGCTGGCACACCCCAGCGCCCCTCTCTCCTCCCGACCTCCCTGCGCAGGTACGAGCGCCTGGAAGAGCAGCTAAACGACCTCACAGAGCTGCACCAGAACGAAATGACCAACCTGAAGCAGGAGCTGGCCAGCATGGAGGAGAAGGTGGCCTACCAGTCCTACGAGAGGGCACGGGACATCCAGGTGGGCGAGCACGGGGCAGCAGAGGGAGCTGGGGCTGGAGCGAGCGGCAGGCAGTGCCTGAAAGGGGGTGGGTGAATAAGGGGGATCCTTAGCTAGGGAACTCGGTGGGACACGTGTGATGAGCCAGGCTGTGCCCCAGCAAGTCCTGAGTGGTGGGCACCAAGGGGCAGTGCAGGGACAGCAGGGATCGTCGCAGCGCGGGGTCCCTGACGCGGCCCATGCTTTGCAGGAGGCGGTGGAGTCCTGCCTGACGCGCGTCACCAAGCTGGAGCTCCAGCAGCAGCAGCAGCAGGTGGTGCAGCTGGAAGGGGTGGAGAACGCCAATGCTCGGGCCCTCCTGGGCAAGTTCATCAACGTCATCCTGGCCCTCATGGCCGTGCTGCTCGTCTTCGTCTCCACCATCGCCAACTTCATCACCCCCCTCATGAAGACCCGCATGCGCATCCTCAGCACCGCCCTGCTTGTCCTCTTCCTCCTCTTCCTCTGGAAGCACTGGGACTCCATCACCTATTTTCTGGAGCATGTGCTGCTGCCCAGCTGATCCCCTGCCCCAGCGCTTCAGCCCAGGGGGCTTTCTGTTTCCTGCGGAGGAGAGGGTGGGAGGGGGGCTGGTGCGCTGGAGCCTTCGTTTAACTTCTTCATGCACTTGGTTGAGTTGCTTTCCTGACCCTCCGCCTTCCCTGCACCCGTCTGCGATCACGTCCGGCACCCGCAAGGTGGAGATAGAGCCAGGATCTGCCAGTCCTCTGGGATGTTCGGGGAGAGCAGGATGGAGACGGAGGAGGAGTTTCGGAGGGAAATGGTAATTTACATGTCATTGGGTTGTGCTAGGATTTTTTGGTTGTTTTTTATTGTCATTCTGTTGTCGTGAAAGTCTGTGGGAAGGAGGTCGTCTTCACAGCCCGCGTCGGGGCTGTGGGCAGGAAAGATTGAGCTGGACCAAGCCCAGCTGCTGAGGGACTTCCTCTGGAGAGCGGCTCTTTGGGGGTGGGTTGTCTTCTTTCTCCCTTGAAGACAAAGACGGCAAAAAAGCTCAGTCCCGGGATGCAGTGAAGGAAAGCGCGTGCGGGAGCAGAGAGCCGATGGCAGGTGGACGTCCCCGCTCCCAGCGGGCTCGCGGCG